AAGACCACCAAAAAAGTTTGGAGATGCCGAACTGCAAGCAATATTAGATGAAGATGATACTTTGAGTCAAAAGCAAATGACAGCCATGTTAAATCTTGCATAACAAACAATTTCAGAACGTTTGAATGCTATGGGAAAGATCCAAAAAGAGTGTGGTAATTGGTTGCAACATAAAAGACAAACGGAAAAATTTTGCTTCAAAGACACGATAATTTATTTAAAAATCCGAAACGGAGAAAATCGTGCGCTAATCCGGGACAACCATCAACATCGACTGCAAAACAAATCGATTCGGTAAGAAGGCAATGCTCTGTGATTGGTGGGATTAGAAGGGTGTGGTGTATCATGAGCTTCTAAAACCTGTTGAAACTGTTAATACTAATCGCTACAGACAACAAATGATCGAAAAACGACCAGAATGGGTCCGAATACACGGCAAAGTACTTAAAAAATCGGTTTTTGACAATGAATAACATTTTTTATTTATTATATCAATATTATTATACATGTTCAGCTTAAAAATAATAAAAATTAACAACTTTAAAAATTATATTATTATAATAATTTGTATATAATACTTACAATAGGCATAAATTTTTTAGAGATTCTTATACAAATATCCAAATTGTATTTCTTTTCTCCTTATACTATTTAAGTTCTATCATATATTTATACAATAAAGTCTTATATATAACAAATTATACATATAATTTAAATTTTCTTAATTAGATTATTTACATATTTTTCTTAAAATTGACGTAAAAACTATTGTTAAAATTTCTATACCGATCTAATTCGATTATATTTGAAAAAAAAAATACAAACTTTTGCAATAATTCTGAAAACTTTAGTTCGAAATAGAGACACAAATACGTTCATGATAGCTGTGTACTGTCTCAAAAGTAATTGCATTAACATGGGAAGGATCCATGTTTGAAAATGCCCATTAAATTTATGTACCGGCAGGTGTAGTTTAATATTCTACACCAAGCAGGGAACTAAAGTTTTTTCTTGGAGCAGATTTCCTATTGTAGTCCCTGTAGACATTAAACAAATTTTAAATTCTCCAACAATTAGCACATTTTGATTGCCTAACTCAGAAGTAAGGACTTCCTGAAGTTCTACAATTAAATGTCTGACAGAGAAAGCTGAATTTCTATATAGAACCAGAATATTAATAATAATAATTTAAACAAAATAATTTAAACAAAACCGGTTCGAAAACTTTGCGGCCTGAATACATTTTCTTTACAGCCTTTGGTTCTATAGAGCAAGCAATACTATGCTTTGCATATATTATAATGTCCCGTTTATTTATGTTGCTTGTTTCCATGCTATCTATCCTCAGCTCGTTAATTGGAGTAAGTCCTGGTATATCAAAACTTTCGCAAGGATAACTCCAAGTTTCTACAAAACATGAAATATCTAAAGATAGCATCACACAGTCGCTTTTTATATCATTCATGTGAGCGTGCAGAATCTGAACATTATGGAATAAAATTTGACGTCCTGATGTTTAGGAAATCATAAAATTGAAACTTGCTGTCAAAGATTTATTTGTGTCCAATTCCCTCAGTTCCCTAAATGCAGGATCCGGTTCAGAAAATTTGTTAGGGGGAATAAAATTTCCTATGATGAATAGACTTTCTACAGTAGTTATTCATTCAAACGGAACAACTAAATACTGATTTATTTGAATTGAAATTTGTTCATTTCTTTTATATTGAAAAGATTTTAGAACTTTCTCAATTGGTGTCCAAGAACTTTCTAGAGGATAAGGCTTTTTTGATCATGGTATCAAACCAACAGAAAGTTCCAAAAATTTAATCCACAGAATTGTTGGAAAAAACAATGCAAATCATTCTGCATAAGTTGCCCAGCTGTCCCATTAACCAAGCCATCACACGTGTTTATATTCACTGTAGTCATATATTTGGTGGAGGTTTGTAGTGCCACTTCATAGGGCAGTCCCTGTGTTTCAGAAGTTTTGAAAAGTTTAACTTTTTCCAAAATATTCTCATTTTCATCGTTGTCTCATTATTTCTGTTAATTCAAAGTATTTAAATAACTCCCACAAAGGGGAACCAACTAAAGTGATGTATTTTCAAGAGGCTAGAAATTCCCCTGTTAGACTTGTTAATATATTTATCAGACATGAAGTGTTCAAAATCGTTTAAATTAGAAATGTCTTCTGTAGTCATATTTGAATTTAAAACGTTTTAAATTTTGAAAAAGTTTTCCTTGTTTCTTTCTGAATTTTGACTTGTTTCTGTAAGAGGTAACATTACTTACGTTGAAGACATTGATGGATATGGTATACCAAAACGACAAAACTGTTGTCCTCTTATTTCCCTAGTACAAGACCGACTCTGGTTATGCTTTTGATAACCCAAATAATTTTCTAAGGGGCTGACCGAAACAGCTGTAGAAATATAATTGTCAATAAAACTAATGACATCAGGGAATGTCTGAGGATCTTGAAGATTGATCCTGGGGGCATTATTAAGCCAATACATGGCATGTACATGCGGGGAACCTCTCTATTGAAACTCCACTCTCCAAAAGAAATTTGTAACAAAATGCTCTCCAAAAATGCCGGCGTTATCTTTAAAAACTTAAGAATTTGTCGATAACGGTAGTCAAAATATCTAGCACAAGTAACCGCGTCTGACCGAATTAAGCGATATCTATCTTGAATTGTTAAACTGTTGGCATCCTATTCCGAAATATCTTTAGAATCAACAGTTTTAGAGAGGATGACCAAATGCTCAACCCATTGAGATTCTGCAGCCGATAAGGTGATAAAGAAGGTTGGAATCCCAAATTGGTGAATCATAGCCTTTCAAAACCTTGTAACCGTCATCGTGTTGAATCAAGTTTTGAACAAATTTTCGTTTAATAGATTTTGGGCCCAAACTCGGTTGCGACCTGAAAACTTTCTAAGGCAAATGAATGTACTATTCTTAATTTGTAGCAGTTCTAATTTTTTGTAATCATAGAACAACTTTGGAATGGTACACGCTCTTCTGTCAAAACGGTGAATTTCAGAACGTATTATCTTGCTATACGTTTCAGAGCATGTACGCTTCTGCCCAACGTATATTGTTCCAAATGACAACTCTTCTGAATTATTATCTTGAATTATGTCAATTGGTCTTTGTCCTTCACCTGGCGCTATAACTAAACAGTTATAGACCAAATTTTCTACAGGAATATTGTCCAAAAGAGTTTCTTGACCGCCCGGATTTAGCTCTGAAGGTAAAAGTGCCGTGGTAATATTATTACCTGAGGGATTATCATGAGAAGTTTGTGCCGCATGAAAAGATTAAACTAATTGGGAATCCTCTGCAGATGCGACAAACTTAACTTCTTCTTGGTTATTAAATTCTGAAATCCAGGTTTCATTAATATGTATATTGTGCTCACGATACAGAGGGATATTTACTAAGAACTGCAAAGCTTCCATAATCTTTGCGGGGCATATGGTATCGATCACGTAATCATTATTGTATTCCGAATGCCTTCTTAAGTGAATTTGTATAACATGAGCCTCATCAAAGGACCTTGGTAGAGATGGCACAATATTGTTAACAGAAATTGGCAAAAAGGCAATCTAGGCATTATGAGACGTTCTTCAATTGGGGTTAAACCTTTCAAACAATCCGGTATTTCAGGAAAGTCTACACCGTTAGTAGCAAGTAGCACAAAAATTGTAATTTCCATCTTCTGAAGGAAATTTTTGCATTAAAAAGAAGGCGGATGCAACATTCGGGTGACCTTGCGCAATAGTTTCGAAATTTAATTTGCGAACTTGGTGTGAAAACCATAATCCGCCACAGTAAATACATATTTAAGTTAGGCCCTTATTTATATTTTGGAAATAAATGTTTTTGAAATCTGTTAAATTTAAACGTTTCTATAACATTATTTTCTCTCGTTAATCGGATTCGTCCCAGCCTTTGGTTTTCAATTTGCCTATTAAGTGGGTTATCTCTACGAACGCGAACTTGACCTTGTCTAAGACGTCTCTGATTCAAAATTAAGCTACTAAGCTGTCGACGTTGTGTTTCTCTATCACGCTCCTCTCTCCTTATTTCAGGATTTCTTCTTGCATGTTCCCTTTGCATTTGATCACAAATGCGCTCTAAAGTCTTATACTCATGAGCGAAGTTCTCTATGATCCCTAGTGTTCCTACTTTTTTTATCATAACGTACCTCGGGATTTTCTCTACGAGATCTATGACCTCGAGTATTTCTTATTTCTTGTTTTATGTTGAACAGTATTTACAACTTGCTCAACAGAACCTCAGGGTCTTGGCGCCGAGATCTATGACCCCGTGTATTTCTTATTTGCTCTTCAGAGCGAATTTGTGGATCTTGCCGCCTTGTTCTATGTTGAACATTATTTACAACTTGCTCAACATATCGAACCTCGAGATTTTCGACAAGAACGATAAATGAATATATATAGGGCAGGTTTTGAGAAGGGTAGAAAGTTATGCACTTTTTTTAGTTAGAAGGCAATTTCTAAGCAAAAAATAAACGAACCTGAAAAAATGTTAAGTAAAAAACACGCAATTTCGACAGCAGAAGTATAGGACAGAATACATGCAAAATTTTTGTGAGAAAAGAAGACGCTTTTATAGAGAAACGACTTTGAGAAGAAAAAAAATAATATGGCCTAAAATCGAAATTAGTTTCGGACGAAACCAGTTTCTTTAGGTAAAATAACCCGCCTAAAGAGTCAAATACTTACAATACTTTTCAAGTCAAGTCAGGGTTAGTGAGCAGGCTGATATACATAGGGCCACGAATATCCCACTGGGACAGCTACAGAGGCCTGTCCGTTGTGAGTCTCAGAACTCCTAAGCATGATTTCATACCTAAACACCTCTATATGTATATACGATTAATTCACAACAAATATTGTTTCTCCTTTATTATTATTTCAACAGCACAACATTTTTGAAGTTCGCACCCCCAAGAAAAGTTTCATTTGATTTCCATTTTATATTTCATATTATCTTAATTCATTTATCTTTATTGCATTCTAATGATAAGCTATATGTATAGTTTATTTTTGGACCTTATAATCTATTTACATTGACTCACTCAAAATTAACATGCAATTAACTTATGTAGATATTTTCGAATACATTTTTATTTCAACTTTCGAAATTTTGCTTACTTTTCTTACGAAAGAGCTACAGGTGAGCAAAGCATAAAATAATTTCAATAGACATTATCTTTAATACCTTCAAATTATGAATAACTAGGAATAATTGAAATGTTAATGCTATACTATGCGAATATATGTATAAGTAGATTAAATAATGGTAATTTCATTTATTTTCGGTAAAGGCGATGCAAAACTATTAACAATTCATTGAAATCGCATCAGCATAAACTTAAAAATTATTTGTATGTTTATGTGTGTGTGTAGGATGCATGCATGTGACTGGGGATATGAATTGGTTAATTTGATTACATAGTTTAGAATCATTAGATCACGAAATGCCAGCTTCGTCATTTACATATTTATTTACATACATTGTAAACGGAACTGTGCAAAAATCCACAGGCTTCAATACTGCCACGCACATACATACAGATATACTTACCAATATTTTAAGAAATAACGAAATAATGCTGTACAGTGAATGGTAACTTTGCATACGGTGAACTAACCTCTAATGTATATAAGGTATGTACAAGTATGTATGATGGCGTATACTCAGAGCAATAAACGCGGAGTGGAAAACGCGTAGTTTTTTATTCATTTGGATTGTTGTCTTGCTGTTGTTGTATTTGCACCCGGGAAGGTACACAAATTTTGCGTAAATTGCTCTATTCTTCTATGGGTATTAGGTCACTACCCGCTGCTGAGTTACTAACAACGTTAGTTGGTTCAACTTTTAAAATTTAACTAAATCGTTGCTTGCGTTTCTTTCTGAAATTCCTTGCATCAAATACACTGCCGACTTAGACTGTCTCTTTTATCCCTAGGTGAAATAGATAATAGCGCGGATAGGGGTTGGCTAAATAAAGATCTAGCGAACATGATATCGTTATACTTAAAGTTCTGCCTATTAGATAATATGTATTTGTATTTCAGCGGGTATGAAACTAAATTGATATGAAAAAGTAACTTTTAATATTCTTCGATTCTGACAACACGGGTAAAAAAGTAAGAATACACATAAATTCTTGAAATAATTACACGTATCATTATGAAAACATCATTGTAAACCCAATTAGTGACATGAAGGTTCGAGGAAAGATTGTGTTAGACGTAACACAGAATACAGTTTGATACAGATACTTCTGATGTATAACCTTGGGTCTCACAAAGCCTTTGTTGAAAATTTTGCACAAAATATGATAAATAAATCGAACTCTACGCACCTGGTCGTAGAGCGCATAAAGAGATTTCCCCACAACTCAGTTAGTTTAAGAACTAGAAGTTATACATATTAGAAACACTAACAAACTAACAAATGTTTTTCATGATTCATGTTTAGCCTGAAAATTTTTTTTATTTCAAGCTTTAAAGAAACTATATTCTATCCAATTACTTCCTCCTCTTGTTCCATGTCACTAAGCTAGCCGGGGTATGCAAAATATCGCTATTATCGATACATTAAACTGATAGTTATAAATAATATTAAATAAACTGACCATCTGAATTCCACCCTTCTGTATATAAAACCGCTAGCCAACTGACACCGAATTAAAAGTGATAAAACCTTAGAGAGAAGGGAAAATCTATGAGCCTATAAACATACCATACATATATAAACGAGATTATTACATTCTGCTTTCTATATCCTTACAATGTCTAAAATATTCCAAATATTGGAGGAATCGAAAACGAGTTTTTGAATTGAACAATAATAGATTTTATGCATGATGTATGAAAGAGGCGTAAACCGTTCGCCCGCCGCAAACTATAATTCATTGTGGAATTTTTGACTGGCTAAAGTGCCAGATTCATTCAACATACGCGCACCCACACCCTCATTTGGATTCTGCCAACTTGTGTGAGTCTGTTGAGAGAGAGAGCGAGAGATCAACTAATTAAAGTTGTGACTGGTGTTAGTGCTTGTATGGGTGCCTACGGCTGGTGTATCATGTGATTTCTGGCGGTGCGGCATTGTGATTGTTGTGCGGCAAATCCGGTGACGTGGAGAATGGTCGATGCAACAGCTGGGCGCTGTGATGATGGTGCTGATATGCAGAGGTGTCCTGTAACGCTGCAACCGTACTTAAAGTAGCCGCTATGCTGTTGGCTGTCGAATTGAGCTTTTCTGGGGAATTGACACGTATTTTCGGCGGTGTGCAATCCACCGCATAGCCTGGTGGCGGATAGCTTATGGCGGCGTGCAGGTGACTGCCATTTAAGCCATGCGCCTGCGCCGGCAATTGTGGTTGTGGTCTAATGACGATCGGTTGAATGGGGAATTGCTGGGACATCTCTTTGAGGTTACTAAAACTTTGTAAATAACAACCGGCATTGAAGAGGCTGGTCGCTGTATCCAATTTGAAAGGTGGCAAGCAGGTGGATAGTGGTGTTGCTGAGGCGTATGTGGATGCTGCTACCAAATTACTCGCCGCAATGGAGGTGACCAAGTCGCGTGGTTTGTCATCATCGACACTGAGACTCTCTTCGCGATCGTTGGCACCGTTCGATGTAGAGCCGGGACTATGTTGTAGCTGAATACTACTAGGAACAGGTGAATGGGTGCCCAGTGAAATATCTGAATCCGATGTATCTGATGCTATCGGGGATGGTGCTCCTTCCGGCCGGCGGCTCCGGCAAATGAGTCCAGAATTATTTTGATTATGTTGTATTCTGAAATGAATAAAGACATATTGGTTATTAAAATCTTGAGCTTGCACTTGTACATATATATATATATACAATGTACAAACATATATGTACATATACATGTACAAACATATCTATATAAAACACGAAGATAACCAACAATTTTGGACTAAGTTCGACTAAATTATACTAATTTTTTTTGTGAGTAACAGTCAGTTTGTATCGATCGGTACATCTGATTTATAACCAAAGGATCAAAAAAAAGTAAAACGTAACGTTTTTGATACATCTAATTATGTTCATAACTAGTTTTGCGAGTTTTTTAGTTAAACAAATTTTGATAAAAAATTAGATTTCCAAAAAAAGATTTAGATTTAGATTTCTAATTTTGTATTCCGATTTTGGGATTAAAACTTGAAAAATTAGATGAGATTGAAAATTTATTGTTAATTTATTGTCAATTTGGGAATAAAAATTTTATTTTTAATTTAATAATAAAAATTGAAAATTGAAATTTAACATGTTTGGAACTAAAAACTTTCAAAAAATATTTTTTAATGTAAGAATAGAGGCAGCAAAAACAAAATTTTTTTCAATTTAAAAGCTAAATGAAAATGGATAAAAAGGGAAAGATGTATATATTTCTAACTGAAACATAATAAATTAAAGCAATTAAATATAAAAAAGACAAAAAGAGCTAAACAATGTTAATATTTTAAAAAAAATAATATTTTCATTTCAAAAGTTAACCAAGTCGTAAAAGACGATGAACGAGGAGAAATGTAAATTTTAAAACCATATATTGTCAATAATTATTCACAATCATGTTTGATCCATCCATCGGGGTATCTTCTTAAGCCAATAAAACAACCTTTGTCTGCTCTTCATACTTCTATCTTTCGCGTATCCAAAGTTTTCGTCTCTACAGATCTAAGTTTCATTAAATTCTACGGTGTATATGTGGTGTTCTACTGTAGCGAATCAGAGGTAACTTCTACGAGTGTGGCCAAAATAATTCCGTTAAATATTCCATAATTTAACAAAGCAACAAACACCTGAATACTCGGATTACTCCAATTGGTTGTATAGTTAAATAAAGTACTGTTTCATTTCCGTTTAAAAAATTCCCATAGACGAACTAAAGACCTTCGCCACGGGAGCCAAATAAAGCTAAAGTTATAAGATTTCTAAATAGCAAATGGTGTAACCATTAACACTTATATATATGTGTATAAGTATGTGTATCTTTGTGAGTATCACTTTTAATCTATTTAATACAATTTCCAATTTAAAGTGGGAAGAAATTGTGTACAACCTGGGCGTTTTCACGGCTTTAATAACACGTAATTTGGATGAGAAGCTTTTTACGATGCCAGAATTTTATTCTCACCATGCAATCACAAATGCTTAGCGTTTCAGGTTCGCACGTGATTTCGGCGATCTTGGGAATATTTGGTTGAGTACTTATCAAAATTTCGTCTTAAGAAAAAACTACTGTTATTAAGTGATTAACACAGTCTGCGCCATGTTGTGCTCAAAGAATTTCAACATCTTAATACGAGTATTGTTCCTCTGCGCATTCGTTTGCTCGGCTTTAATTTGATTCCGTTTCGTTGTCATTTATTGAAGGTCAAAGCAAATAGGTAACAGAACCAGAGAGCAGGGGTACAACTGAACTCAGAATAAATATGCAGTGATTTACAGAAGTATGTATACAAGAAGTATAGTGGGGAGGGAAGAGCTCAAAACACTGATTGTTGCTTTGTCGTTTGCGAGACTTTTTGAGGTGATCATATTACCAATTCGGCCGCTTCACTTCAATGAATACTATAAGAATGCTTGACATGAGCCGATTAAGTTTTTCCAAGTTTTGAATTTCAGTATTTCGAAACACAAGACATCAGTTCACCATTTAGCCAGTTAGCTAGCCAGACTAGGTCTGTGCTGGGCCAGCTACACGGTTAAGCAGCGCACAAAAAAGTCAACTTGACTTCCGCCCGAGTGCCAATCGAGTTGGCCAACCAATGGAATCGTAATAATGATGTGTCGCTTTGGTAGGTGCCAGTATATCACATTTCACAAAATCCTTATACTGATGATACTCGTATATGGAACTACTTGTATGTTTAATCAATTGTGTGGAAAATACTGTTTTTATGCGGTGAAGTTTACAGTCGCTCTGGTATATTATATACTGACGGTGCACAACGTCTTAATTTTAATCAGAAGTTAGTATTAATTACGGCCAAGTAACCTTGAAAACAGCTTCTTTTGTCACGTACAATGCCAAGATTACGCCGATCTCGTGCCCAAAGTGCGGCAGTTACTTAAGTTAAGCTGAGAGGACAGGTAGTCAAGACACAAGACATCAAGCCGAATGAGTTTACTGCAAAGTACTCGCAAGCAAAAAATAAATTCAAAAGAGCGATATCACAACCAATGGAAAATTTTGAAATATCTTAACATATAGGATGACCCTTGCTCATAAGAAAAATGTATTGACATAACCTTAATTAATTATTTAAAATTTCACAAGATTCATTGTTTTCAGACTTTATAGAAATTTTTGACCACATCCAGCTTGAGCACAGTTTAAGGAAGAGTTATTGAACATTATTTAGTAAAATTGATAATGAAGAGGTTTTAGAAATTTAGAAACGACCTCTTTCAAGTAAAAATAAACAATGTGGAAATAAGATAAATGAAGATATTGATGATAATACATATATAGATAATATGAATGGTACATTGGTGTTTGAAAGATTTATAGTCGGAAGCAGATTTAATGGTGTTCCATTTTATAGTTTTATAATAGCAAGAAAATCTTCGAAAAACTATTTTCAATTACATTTTGAAGTCTAAAGAATGCAAATTCAAATAAAAACGGTCTCGCAGAAATCAATCTATTCTATAACGTCTGTCCTGCTCTTCGATTTGAGTGAAAATCAGAAAAAAAAACGTTAACTTCGGTTGCACCGAAGCTAGAATACCCTTCATAAATAAAGAAGTTTTCATACAAGAACTTGATGTTTATCGTTCAGTTTGTATGACATCTATATACTGGTCCAATCTGGAAAATTTCTTCCGAAATTTTAGCATTGTTTTGAATAAGAATCATGCTAAATTTCTTGAATATATCTCGTTAGCTAAAAATTAGTTTCCGTACAAGAACTTGATTCTGATCGTTCAGTTTGTATGGCAGCTACATATGTATATGCAATAGCAGTCCGATCTAGAAAATTTCTTCAGATATTGTAGAGTTGCTCTAAACAATAATCCATCCCAAATTCAGTGAAGATATCTCGTCAAATAAAAAGGTTTGCAAAATTACAGACCGATATCTCAAGAGCTGAGGGACTAGTTCGAATTAGACAGCTGCACAAGTGTACTTGATAACACCGAAGCAACGAGTGACCTAAAATATTGCATTAACATTGTTTGATATCATTTACAATGTAAGTTGTGAGCTTGAATAGCAACCAAAGCAAAAGACACAAACAAACATCACTTGTTCGGTACTCTCAACAAAGCAAACAGTACATACTCTGTTTTGATGCTTGAAAGGCAATGCATCTAACCTAAAAACATTGTAGTGTTATGTCAAACGAACGAATGACTTGAAATTAACTGTAAGTCGACTTGTGCAGCTGTATATATATATTTAATAGGGTCCAACGTTTTCTTTTGGCTGTGGCAAATTTAATATACCCGGCTCAGGATATACAAATAAATTCCCAGTAACTTTAAAACTACGAAAAATGTATCGATTATAAAATCAAGAACATCAATTTATTTCAGATACACATTTAATCGAACCGTAGTTTAAAACAGGTCTCAGTATCTTCACTGATTCTTTTATGCATTCTTTCCACTCTTTCTTTCAACGAACTCAAAAGACACACAAAAGCAATATGATTTGCCAAAGGATTTGACGACTTCTACTTGGAGGGAATACTAACAACAATTGCCCTCCATCAAAGTATAATTAATCGATTCAATAATATTAAAAAATAAAGCTTCCTTAAGTTAATGTAGTAACTTAAGTTAAGCTGAGAGTTTAACTAAGTTTTTTTCTTGAACTATCCCGACTACTATCTCTGATACAAATAGAATGTCTCCCGGTTAAATCCAACGATTACCAAACAAGCAATATATCACGTTTCTTCTGATATGCTGGCTTTTGAGTTTGATTAAAAACATATATAATATTATATACTTATATTATCTATCGTTCTCAGATGCCACTTATTACGGTAGAACAAATGGTTTTAACAACAATATCACATTGAGCAGCACAGCATTACTGGGCTATTTATATCTGATTTTAATGGTTAACACAGGTTGTAAGCATATATGGGTATTTTTAGAACATTATGACTCAATTATACGATTGTGTTTTGAGCATTCATCGTACGTTTATAGGTGGTATTACGCAGATCAGATCCTACTCCTAAGAAGTGCGATGAAAAATGTACCCTATCAACTGACAACACAACAATTAGGCCAGAAGCGCCGCACACGGCACGGCAAAAGAACGGAAGAGAAGAGGTCGTGTTGTGAATTAAACAATTTAAAACTTCATTTGCGTCAGACGTAAATCAGATGTGTGAGACATCGGAAAGTTGAAGGTGCGACGTGTCAGTAGCTGCCACATAACGATGGCAATCGAACGTCGTTTAGATATGATGCCAAATGACTTTCATACCGCGACGACTAAATAAATGCTTCCAAACGAGTTGAGAAGGTGAAGTTGCACAACTAGAATTTATGAAGCACTGTATAGTCGACCGATCTTCACTTACCCCCCTACACCAAGCAGATTTCGGTCAACAGTGTGAGTAATGTTATTGTCATTAATCACTCAACACGAGCAGTTACCGCCGCGCAAACTCATGCACTCACTGCTCACTACTCGCTGACCACCACTTACAACTCACAACTCACCGCCCATGGCTCGCTAATGTTGCGATGCGAAGGTGAGATAGCGGGGCAGCAAGAAACTGCGACAGCACTGATTATTAATG